CCACATCAACTCTGTGGATAAATACATCAAGTTCACACGAGAAGATGTAAAAAATGGCAGGTTGGCTTTCTTGGACTGTGAGGTCTCAGTCTCTGATAGAGGACATTTGCAAACTGAGGTGTACCACAAACCCACCCACACAGACCAGTATTTGCAGTTTGACTCCCATCACCCTTTGGAGCACAAGTTAGGAGTCATCAGGACTCTGTACCACAGAGCAGACAGCGTCCCCACTAGCTCAGGAGCCAGGCAGAAGGAGAAATCCCACACAAGACAGGCTCTAGAGCAATGTGGATATCCTAACTGGGCCTTCCTGAAAGCAGAGAAGAAACCCAAACAGGACTCCAGTCAGCCATCAGGTGAAAAGGAGGAACCCAGACCCAGACCAGTGGTCGTTCCATATGTTGAGGGAGTATCAGAGAAACTGAGACGTTTATTTTCTAAACACAACATCCCAGTGGCTTTTAAACCCCAAAATACATTAAAGACTGGTTCATCCCAAAGATCCAGTCCCCCGGCACAAACAGAGTAATATTGTGTATGTTGTTCAGTGTCAGGAGGGTGATCAGTCTTACATCGGGGAAACTAAACAACCACTGGCCAAAAGGATGGACCAGCACAGAAGATCAACATCATCAGGCCAGGACTCTGCGGTCTACACTCATCTCCAGGCCAGCGGTCACTCTTTCAGGGATGAAGATGTTCACATCCTGGACAGAGAGGAACGATGGTTTGAGAGAGGAGTAACGGAGGCCATCTTTGTGAAAAGAAACCGTCCATCATTAAACAGGTGTGGAGCCTCCAGGTTCAACTGTCCCCCTCTTACAATGCTGTGATTGCTAGTATCACTCAGCCCTCTGTGAACAGTAAACAGCCATCAGGTGCTAATGATCCATTGTTAGGCTGATGGTCCTTCTTGAGCATGTGATCAGCTGGTTCTGGTTGTCAGCAGCAAACTGGTTGATCCACTCTGAGAAGGTGCTATTTAAGAGACTGAGCTGAATACAGCACCTCAGACTGAGGAAGTCCTCAGGATGAGAGACGAAACATTTCTTTGATTTTTTTGCTTTGTTTTTTGAATGTCCGGAGGACCAGATGTAACTTTTTTAGATTCAGCACATAGTTAATTTTGATAAACCACGAGCTGAGGTCAGTGTCACAGGTGCTTCAGGATTCAGGTGTGCATTCCAAAGTGAGTCTGATAACCTGATTGTGTGCAGGTAAAGCAGGAGGTCCAGCCTCAGCCAGAGGAGGAGGAGACTGTGATCTGTATCAAAGAAGAGCCAGAGGAGGTGATGGCCTCCCTGCTGGACTGCCAGGTGGAGCAGGGTTGTGCTCCGAAGTCACAGGTCAGCTCGGAGTCAGGCTTGTCAACAAAAAAACTGCAAGCACATCAACTAATTTTTGTTAATTATATATATATAATTATATATTTTTTAAATTTTTTGATTCTTTAGCCTCAGTTCTCGATAGCAGAGCAGTTGAGACCTTCAGCACCTCAGAAAACTTGTGAACCCACTTTCAGCTCGGCGGAGCTCAACATCTGTAAGTAGAGCTGAGTGTACGTGGTACTCATTTTATTTACTCACTGAAATTTTTGATTTGGACAAATACATACTGCATATCTTTCCCCAGCAATAAACCACAGGTCAAACTGTACATTTATTGACAGATCAAAATTGATAAGAATGGAATTTGAAGTAGTTGAAATAAAGTGTGAAATGTTGCCTCTCGTAAACCTACGCTCTTCCATGACTGATGCTGGCCCAACGTACCATACCACTTTCTGTTTCCCCTCAGATGCACTGCCTCAGTTGACTGGCCTATTCCCCTCTGCGGTAGCCACACCCTCTGGTGTCTCACCTCGTCAGGCTGCTCGGCCTTGGACCAAAGACTTCAGCTTTTACGAAGAATATAAGCTGCGCAGAAACGAACTGCGGCGCCGAAACCTCAACAGACGCAGGGAGCTGGAGAAAACGTTGCCTCAGCCTCTGCTGGCAGATCTGGTGAGCCAAGTGTTGGAAGCAGAAATATTAACCTCGTCCCAGAAGTGGTCTGATTTTAATGACCGTGTTGTGTTCAAGGTGCGCGAGCGTCGAGAGAAGACCAGACTGAGAGTAGCTAGATGGAGGGCAAAGAGGAAACTCCAGGCCTGCCTAACCCAGAGTCAGGTCAATGATCACTCCTTTTCAGCACACGATAGATGACTAGAACCTGGATCCATAGATGGCCCCTATCAAAAAGGCTAAATGTATTTTGCATTAGTTCAGATCATTTTGTTTATCTAGTTTGCCAACATTTGTTTTTTACCAATCATGCAGTTAAACTGGCCACTAGGGAGCCACAAGCCAGTGTCTCTCTGGTTCTGGTCTCAAGTCGGGGTAATTGGTGGGGTTGTGTCAGGAAGGGCATCTGACTTAAAACTTCTTTTTTGCCAGAACTATAATGCAAGTTCATCAAAGTGAAACCATATCGGATTGGTCGAGGCCCGGGTTAACAAAAACCCACACCGGTGCTGTTGACAAACAGGGTGCCGGCGGAAATTGTGCTGCTGTTAGTTGAAGACCACAAGGAGGGAAACATGTCAGGAGACAGAGGAGAAGAGGAAAGTGAAGAATGTAAGACTGAGGGTTGCAACTCTTAAATGTGGGGACAATGACAGGCAAAGGTAGAGAGCTGGCTGACATGATGCTGAGAAGGAAGGTAGATGTTTTATGTGTCCAAGAGACCAAGTGGAAGGGCAGCAAGGCTCGCAGCACTGGAGCAGGGTTCAAACTGTTTTACCATGGTGTGGATAGAAAGAGAGAAGGAGTAGGGGTGGTCCTGAAGGAGGAGTTGGTAAAGAATGTAGTAGAGGTGAAAAGAGTGTCAGATAGGGTGATGTGTCTGAAGGTAGAAGTAGAAGGTCTGATGCTAAATGTTGTCAGTGGTTATGCTCCACAGGTTGGATGTGATGTGGAGGAGAAAGATCTGGATGAAGAGATAGAGAGTATTCCCAGGGAGGAGAGGGTGGTGATGGGAGCAGACCTGAATGGACATGTTGGTGAAGGAAACAGAGGATGAGGAAGTGATGGGTAGGTTTGGTGTCAAGGAAAATAACCAGGAAGGACAGATGGTGGTGGATTTCGCCAAGAGAATGGAAATGGCTGTAGTCAGCACCTATTTCCAAAAGAGGGAGGAGCATAGAGTGACCTATAAGAGTGGAGGAAGGAGTACGCAGGTCGACTACATTCTGTGTAGAAGAGGAAACCTGGGGGAGACTGGAGACTGTAAGGTTGTGGCAGGGGAGAGCGTGGCCAGACAGCATCGGATGGTTGTGTGTAGAATGACTGTTGTTGTGAAGAAGAGAAAAAGAGTAAAATCAGAGAAGACCAAATGGTGGAAGATGAAGAAGGAAGAATGTTGTGAGAAATTCAGAGAGGAGCTGTTAAAGGCTCTGGGTGGTAAGAAAGAGCTTCCAGATGACTGGACTACTACAGCAACAGTAATTAGAGAGACAGGTAGGAAGGTACTTGGTGTGTCATCTGGACAGAGAATGGATGATCAGGAAACCTGGTGGTGGAATAGAGAAGTGCAGGAAGATGTTCAAAGAAAGAGGTTAGTCAAGAAGAAATATGACAGAGAGAGGACTGAAGAGAGGAGACAGGAATGCAGTAGTCCCTCGATACTTCGCGGTTTGTTTATCATGGATTTGCTATATCACGTTTTTTCAAAATCAGAGTGGACATGACACAATTGTCTGATTGATGGATGAGCCATGCCTTGTTTATTTAAAATAAATTATTTAAAATGATTTTGCACCATGTGTGCAGCACACAAGTGCAGGGGAAGCTTCCTCCTGCAGCTGATCAGCTGATCTCTGCCACGCCCACATTTCTGCTGCAGCTTTGTGAAGAGTTAACCCTTTGATGTCCAGATGCACCGATTCACTTTTGTCTTCCAACTTAAAATTCAAAGTATGTCACATTGTAAAATCATCATAATTACAAAATATAAAAGTGTTCAAAGTTATTTTTAATTATTTTAGAACTTCTATGTTCAGTTGTTTCAGTGTCATTGATCAAGAAGAACATTTGTGCTCCGTGCTGCAGAGCTGAAGCTGCGTGACATCCTGTCATGTCCTGCTGCTCCTCTCTTCTCTACAATTTAAATTTAAATACTGTAACATTTTAATAAACAATCCATGCTGCATGGATTGTTTATTAAAATGTTACAGTATTTAAATAGTTTATTTAAGGAGGGAGATTGGAGGTGATTGCAGCCTGGCACATGTCATGACAAAGTTTACTGAACTTGAACTGAACTTGAACTGAACTTGAACTTGGAACTGTGTCACTACTTTGCGGTTTTTCACTTATCACGGGGGCTGGGGACAGAAGGCCCGCGATAAACAAGGGACTACTGTATAAGGAGGATTTTTGTATTGAATGTTTTTTGAATTTACTGTATAAGGAGATACGATGAAGAGCAAAGAGGGAGGTGTCAAACAATGTTCCCTCCCTCTAAGCTGGTCTCCTGTGCAATGACACACTGCTCGCACATTCTCTGCGCACAAAAAATCAATGCTGCAAAGTGACGGACTGCCTATCACAACCACCCGCACCGTGACATTTCCTGGTGGCCTTACCCACTCAGTGACCGCTGAGGAGCCGCAACAATCGATTAATCAGTCGATTAGTTTTCGATTAATCAATGGGTCATCCAAAAAAAAAAAAAAAAAAGGTTTTAATTCCCGCCTTTTATTCCAAAATTTGACTAACATAGAAAATCACACAAAAAACAGCTTACTACTTGACTATTGTGTTAGTAAAATATTGAATAATAAAAAATAAAAGTTTGTCAAATAGCTTCAATAAAAAAATTAATGTACATAAAAATATATGCAAATGTATCTTTATACCTGCACAGTATGTAGCAAGTTTGTAAAATGTGTCCTTGAAGGAAGAGTGTAACCTGGATTAACCTGGATTAACCTGGATTAAAAGTGTGGATTATTGTAGTGAAGCCTTCGTGTTCAACCATGGACAGAGGCCTCATGTCAGTGACGATCATGTTCAGGATGTTTCAGTGAAGACAGCTGCTGCTGTGGTGTCCATGATGTCTGTCCATCATGAAGGATGTTGTTGTTTGTTGTTGTTTTCTGGAATGAGACAGTAAATATGTTTTATATCATAATTTACAGCAACTCAAGAAATGCCTTGTTTCACTTACAGTGTTAGGTTCAGGCAAAAGTAGCTAAAAGAGCAATTAAACACACACACACAGACATATATAAAATACTTAATTCCACACATTTGAGTAGATGTAATAAATTACTTTAATTCCTGTTTAAATGCAAATCATCCTGCCATACCTGCAGTGTCTTCAGACTTTGCCAGCAAATTAAAAGTTGAAGCTTAATCATTAAATTATTATTTTTGTGTTAGATTTATTTATAAATCACATTTAAACACTGATTGTACCAATTAAATTAAATAAAAAGTAACACACGTTCTCTATCCCCGTCATTAATCAACAAACAAACAAACAAACAGCTTCATCTTCAGACAGACTGACGTTACGTTTTCTCTCTTGAAACAGAACAAAGTGTTAAATTGTAGAGACTCACCTGCAACACATGAAGAGTTGTATCAGCTGCAGCTCCTTCCTCCTCCTCGTGACTCCCACATGTTTACGTTTCATCTCCGTGGTTCTCCCGTGTCGTGTCGTCACTTTTCAAAGCTGCATCTTGCTCAGTTTTTATCTTTGTGAAGAGCTCCCACACTTTGGAGGACTTGGGTCAAACAGTTTTCTCTGCGTCGGTCATTTGTCAAATTTACTTAATTTTCTTTGAAAACACTTTACTCTGCTTCCACCTCGCTCTGTTCAACTCGCTCTGCAGAGTTTTTTTAACTTTATTCAGTCAGTCAGCATTGGCAATGCTCTATAGGTGTACAATATCATATTCAAACCTCTGTAGTAAAATATTGTGATCAACTGTATCAAATGCAGCACTGATGTCTAACAGGACCAGTAGAGACACAAGTCCATTGTCAGAGGCCATGAGAATATCATTAGTGACTTTTACTAGTGCTGTTTCTGTGCTATGATGAGCTCTAAACCCTGACTGAAACTCTTCAGATTATTTTTTTGTAGATGTTCACGCAACTGACCTGCAACTATTTTCTCTAGAATTTTTTAGATGAAAGCTAGATTAGATATAGATCTATAGTTGGCCAGAATTTCTGAATCAAGGTCAGACTTCTTAAGTAAAGGTTTAATTACAGCAACCTTAAAGCGCTGTGGTACATAACCATCCATTAAAGACAAATTAAGTAGATCCAAAATGTGGACATTAATTAGGGGAAATACCTCTTTAAACAGTCTGGTTGGGATGGGATCTAGCAGGCATGTGGATGGGATCTAGCAGGCATGTGGATGGTTTGGATGAGGTTATTATTTTTGACAATTCAGAGCTCAACATGACAAAAACTGTCCAAACATAAATCAGGCTCTAGTGAAATTTTTAAAGTTGTCTCATCTGACAGGGGACTAGAGATAGTAGAAGGAAGGATGGTTTGAATTTTCTCTCTAATTGAAATAATTTTATTTATAAAGAATCTCATGAAGTCATCACTACTTATAGTTGTAGGGATACATGGTTCAACAGAAATGGGACTTTTAATTAGTCTAGCAATAGTACTAAACAGAAACCTAGGGTTATTTTTATTCTCCTCTATTAAAGATGAGTAATATAAAGTTCTAGCTTTATGGAGAGCTTTTTTATATGTTAGCAGACTATCTTTCCAAGTTAAATAAAATTCTTCAACATTAGTAGAGCGCCATTTTCTCTCCTGGTTTCTAGATGCTGCTTTAAAGTACGTAACTCAGAATTGAACCAAGGAGCCAGTTTCCTCTGATTGATTACTTTCTTTTTCAGTGGAGCAATTTTATCAAGTGAAGTTTGCATTGAAGTTGTAAGATGATCAACTAGATGATCTAAGTCTCTGTTCTCTGATGCATTACTCTGCAAGACAGAGGAAACATTGATGGAAGAGACTGTTTCAATTTGGTTACAGCGTTTTCTGATAAGCACCTGCTGAGATGAAATTTACTCTCAGTGACTGTGTAGTCATTTAATGTAAACTCAAAGGTTATTAAAAAATGGTCGGACAGAACAGGATTTTGAGGAACTATTACCAAGTCCTTAATCTCTACACCATAGGTCAGAACTAAATCAAGAGTGTGATGATAAGAATGAGTAGATGTGCGGACGTTTTGGGTAAAACCAAATGAGTATTAAATTATTAAAGGCTATACTTAAACTATCACTCTCAACATCCACATGAATATTGAAATCACCCATTATGATGATTTTATCAGTATTTAATAGTAAGTCGGTTAATAATTCTGATAATTCAGACAAAAACTTGAGAGTCAGCACCTGGTGGACGATATATAACAACTAGTAAAAGTGGCTTTTCTGATTTCCATTTTGGATGAGAAAGACTGAGGGACAGTGATTCAAAAGAATCATAACTAATAACTGGTTTGGCATTAATCAATAATCCTGACTGAAAAATAGAAGCTACTCCTCCACCTCGGCCAGTTGTTCTAGGAACATGAACATTTAAATAATTAACAGGAGTGGATTCATTTATACCAACAAAATCCTCCTGTTGTAGCCAAGTTTCTGTCAGACACAATAAATCAATATGATGATCAGTTATCAGTTCATTAACTAACAGGGATTTAGAGGAAACAGATCTGATGTTCAAAAATCCACATTTAATGATTTAATATCATTTTAACCATGACATAAATATGTCAATGATTTTAACGGAAATTCTAGTGGCGTAAATTAGCAACATGAAAATCTGCGGAGATAGAGCACGTACTTTTCTAAGTAAATTAAAATGGACTGTACTTCTACAGCTCCTTTCTATCTTATTTCAAGATACTCAAAGCTCTTTACAACAGTCTGTGCCTCTTTTACCCATTCATACAGCTCTATACTAGATCTCTACGAAGCTAATTGAACAAATCATTCTAAAGAGACTGATCAGAGCTTTTAGATCACATTCATGCACTGATGGACACACATCAGAGGCAACGAGGGGTTCAGTGTCTTGCCCAGGGACACTTCAGCATGTGACTGCTGGTGGATTCGAACCCCCAACTCTTGTATTGGAGGACGACTGCTCTAACCACTCAGCCACAGCCGCCAGTTCTTATTCATAACTGGAATTATAACATTGTATAAGAAAATTAATCAATTTATTGAAAGATATATTTGAATTAATATTAATAAATACAGTATGTTTCATAAATATATTTTATTAATATCAAGTAATTATTTCCAGTACATTTTCCTTAATCTAGCATATTGAACGGCGATCCGTGCGACTTGGAAGTATTCCTTTTAGCGCACGTGCAAATGAGCTACACTACGGATCATGCTTCCGTAACAGATCGGGCAGCGACAGCGCTCAGGAGGAGTGGAGACACGTCTGTGTTGCTCGCTCACCAGTTTAGCAAGCTTAGTGCGGGCAGTTGTTGACTGGGGGGTCATAAACATATATACGTGGTTAGTAGGATGCTTGAGAGAAGTGGAGCGCTACATCTGTAGCATCTTAGCATTAAGCTGTAAGGCGCTGTGTTCAGGTGCATTAAAGTTGAAATGTCTTTAAAACCCACAGCTGAATTCACACAAACTTGGTGAGAAACACGATTTAAATATGTGGAATTAAAGTTAGGAACGCTACATGAAATGTTGCTTTTTTTGTACACTAGTGTACACTTTATTGCACATTGGTGCACGTGTGTGTGTGTACGCACGCGTGCACGCACACCAGTGTATCCCCCCACATTACAGATGCTTCTGACACCCATGCCCCTGGAATTAATAAAGTATCTTTCTTATTTAATGTTAAGTACTTTTAGCCACAGAAAAGTCCAATATTTGTAGTTTTTAAATATAACAACCATCATGATGTATTTGTGTCTTTATATAACCTTTGTTCGCCAAAGAGGACAAAAGGCTTGTCAAAAAAAAGTTTGAGAACCACCGATGCGAACCTTCCACTAAAATTATAATTATTCTCCTTCTCAGAAAACATTTGGAACATCTGAGATCGTTGAGATTTGAGTTGTTTTCAGACGGCAACAATCTGCTTTGGTTTTGTCCAACAAGCTCATCTCGACCGAATATTCTACGCTGACGATGCTCGAGCTCTTTAAACAAAAAGCTTCTTTCTTCATTATGGAACCCATGTTGGCCTCATTGTGTTTCAGGTTCCTCCTCCAGCCACCGGCGGTGAGACACCTCAGCGAATCTTCAGCCCAACAGCTTCTTCAGCAACAGCCCCGCCGGCCTCCCCCTTGTACCCTCCTCCCCCTCCCCCCCCTTGCTCCTGCGTGGGTCCAACATGGCTTCACATGACCACACTGTGACATCATCTTCATCCTACCAGGTCACCACGGAGCGTCTCACTGACAGACGTACAAACGTTGCAGTGAACTTCACATGAACACACTCATGAAGATCAAAGCATTCAAAAATAAAAGTCACATTTAAAATAAAACATTCACATCTATTATCTATCGATCGATCATAGATAGATCCCCCCCCC